ATAATTGTTTTCTCATATATTAAAATTAAAGATACAAACTGATTCTTTTATAATAATAAGAGGACTAAACAATCATAAAATAAAAATTATAAAGTCAAAAAAAAAAAAAACTTAGTAACAACAATTGTTGATGATTATTTAAATAAAAAAATGGATAGATTAACTTATGTAAAACTGGCATTAAACTACTATTTAAAAAAAATAAATTAACTTTTATTGTATTTAATTGCTTTTTTTTTTCATACTGAAATATGTCTAGGTACTTGTGTTATATTTTTTGTTGTGGATGACAATTATTGTTTATTGAAATTTAAAAAATATATATATTTATATTATAGTAAACTGGGTGTTCCTTCACTGTTAATTAAAGAATATATTTCATATAACTAACATAAATAAATATTCGGCGGAATCAATTTATATGTACTAATATCAGGCAAAATCAATAGCCGTCAGAATTGATATTGAACGGCGGAATCGATAAAACCCCGTATTTGGGGTTTTATCATATTTTGCGCTTATAGATTCTACGGTCCAATTGGCTGCATCCGAGTTGGGTCCCGAATTAAAAATTACTACACTAGTTGGGTCCGTGATTTTTATAGGCACTATACTAGTTGGCTCTTTAATTTTTTTTTTTGGTAAGTACTACATAATATCATTGTCCTTCTCATTTTAATAGACCTAGGACTGTCTTTGATCTATTTAGACCAAATGTATAGTTAAAAATGTTTTTTACAATTTATTTTTTTAATATTTTTTATCATTAAAAATATAAATTATTAGAATTTTTTTTAATAATAGGTAAATGGCAATTACATACAGGCAGAGTAGGGCATTATTCGATTGAAATTTTATTCGAATGATTTTTTCACGATTATTTAAATAAAAATGTATTCGAATAAAAAATTATTCGGATAATTATTAAACGTTATAATTCGAGTAATTTTCGTTAATTTTGTTTGGATAACCATAGGGTTGGTAATTAAAAACAGGCTAATAGTTGGCATTGTAGGTATTTTAAATTACACGATGGTGAAAATATTTTAAAATATTATATATAAAACAGATATAAATCTATAGAAGAAAATAAAGAATTTAACATATTTTTTTTTAATAATAATTTAGTAATATTAAAATATGAATATTATTTTAGAATAATTACAACAATTATAAATAGTAGTAAATAGTAATAACAAAAATGTAAATAAATATTTTGGCAAAAATGAAAATAAATAAATATAGCAAATTTTAAATTTCAATAAATAAAATTATTATTAAATTTTTCATAAATTATTAAAAAAAATAATTTAGTTTAATATATTACAGTATAATTTATGCTATTATTAACTAGAAGACTTATAAATTATAATCTTATTACCATTATATGATACATATTTTGTACTACCTAGTATAATTTTTTATTCTGGATAAAATTTTGCACAACTCTGCATGTAATTCATTGTGTTTGACGTTTCTATTGTATTCCCTTTAAATTTTGTTTATAACGTTATCAAATAAATCACAAAAGAAAATCTCAACCCTTCGTCAGTGTGTAAAAATCATAGATATGTATCATATATGTGATTGACGTTTGCAAAACTCCCACATGATTACATTTTGTGTGATTCTATATTTCATGGAAAATAAGTGAAAACGTACGACAATGCGTCCGATTTCGTACAGGTATGTCATGCGATCTGCCGGCGGTAAGCGCTATTGACGACGATCCGGTTGTATATACACCCTGAATGTATTTCTCAACACTCCGTGCATGGGCGTCATTTGGAGTAAAATGATGGGGTAGCAACAGAGGTTTCCCGTAAAGGGGAGAGCTAAAGCTTATTGAAGCCCGCTCCCCATTGACCTTGTAAAATCTAAAAAAAACTTTTTAACATTAAATATTTTAAACATTTATACATTATATATACAATAATGATTTGATGTGTTCTAGTGTTCAATTATAGAGTATATATTAAATAATTTCAATTTAAACATAATAAATTAAATATTTTATGTAAGTGCTACATTTTAAAGTCAAGAATGAATCACATCATTATCTCAATTTACAATATTTGAGTAGTATTATAAATATGCGTATGATAATATGTGATTAACCTAGGGCTCCCGCGCTTTACTCTTCCCTCTCCCCTGTTTATCAAACCACAATGATATTATTTTCGTTTAATAGTAAAACTATGATACTAGAATAATATTATTACACCGCTTTATTTGCTACATTCCGTACCGTATCAGATCGTTGTCAATGGTATTTACCATTTTCTGAAAACACATTAATTATTATTTTTTTATAACAACAAATGTTTAACAAGCCAATTACAAAGTGTATAGCTATAATTAATACCATATCAATCGTTATCCCCGAAAAATAAGCATTTGTAGTTTTGCTAAAAATAGATTAATGTTAAGTTATTTTTATAAGTTTAAATTCAATAAAAATATTATATTTAATGTAATCATTATCTGAACAAAAGTTTTTTATATTTAAAAAAAAAAATTCATGATGGTGTAACGTGGCTGGGGAACCTAGTTACTATATTAGTTGTCCAGGGAAGGTTTTCTGGTCCTTATGGATAAATTTTCCGTAGCTAGGGGGTTAGAACACGGTATGTGGGATCTTATCAATAAATAAAACACGTTTGGTTTATAAGGCCTAGCGCACACGATGCAACTGTTTTGGGACAAAAGTTGCAAATCAGTTGCACGCGGAACTGTTTTGTGACCTTGGCATCAAATAGCTGTGGCCGTCCGCACACGAGGCGATAAAACTAAAATTAGTTTACAATCAGTTTACAATCGGTTGTACACAACCGTTTCCCGCGGTTGCAGTTGCGTTGCAGTTGTTTATTTTATTTTTTTTTTGTTTATATTTATAATTAACCACGTGCAGTATTCGTATTCGTTCTATTATAATATTATATTCAGTTTGTTTTTTGCGATTTCTGAAAATGGGTGACCAGGAACTTAACTTAAAGCTCGTCAATGAGGTAGAGAAGCATGAAGAGCTCTATAACTATAAACTTCCTGCGTATTCCAGGAAAGATTTGACGGAAAAATCATGGCAAGATGTGGCTTCCCAAGTTAATATGCCAGGTATGAAAACTTCAGTAATTTATAACTATTTAAAATGTATTGTATTTGTATTTTGTAAACGTAGAGAAAATTTGCATTAAAATATTACCTATATAGTTACAAGATTGCATTGTGGTATATAATATTTGTACAGTAGTCGCCGCTTATTGTAATCACGGTTAATGTTATCAATCGCTTATTGTCTATAAGTACGAGTCGGAGTAATACGCCGCATAATGTTATCAGTTTGAAGAAATAGACTTTGTTTTTAAAAATTGGTATAAAAATTGATGAAAATATACCTACTACTACTACTACATCAAATTTTACCGAAGAAGATGTTTTACATGCTTTATTACAAACACATAAACTTGAAGAAATTGAGCTTTAGCCACAAACGGATACGTACTAAAAAACCTTACAACTTTTTTTGAATGAGAGAGACCCTATAAATATTACTAAGTGTGCAACATCACTCATCAAATTTTAAGTAACATTATAAATATGAACATTTTATCAATGATTTGTTAACGATACAATAAAAAAATATTATAAAATTAGTATTAATTAATATAATTTGTAGGTACAAATTAATATTAATATATAATTACATTTTATTTTATTTTTAAACAATTTTAAATTGTGCATATACTTTAAAATTTAAATAGTTATCAATTATAATGAATTATAAATAATAATACTTGCTAATATAATATTAAAGTATGTTTTATTTTTTTTCAACTTTCGTTTAGTGTTATCAATCGGATTATATTATCAATTATGTCCCGTATCAAAGTGATTACATTAAGCGGCGACCACTGTATATACATATTACATAATTAGAGATGTTAAAAAAATAATTTTTTATGTTGGTGAAATACTCGCATTTAATCATATTATGTTAATAACGTTTTAAAAAATTAAGTCATAACTGTAAAATTATTCTGTATTCCCTTCCGGTACTGCGAATTTCCACTGCCAGAGGAGACTTGCACGAGGAGAAAGGAAATAGTTTACCAAATAATTCCTCAAAGTAGTCGCTGAAGAACCCTCGTGTATAGACATATCTCATACTCGTACGTTGGTCGGTACTTCCGCTGTCTCGTTCATTTGTGCTGTATCGTGGGGTCTGTACTCAATTCCTTCTCGCTTCCGTACGAAATTGTGAAAGATGCAGGCAGATTTTATTATATCATTCACTGTTGTTGGATCACGACATCGTATGGGCCCATTCAACACCGCAAACTTTTCTGCTGCCATACCAAACACACATTCAATAGATTTTCTTCCACGGCTCAATCTATAATTAAATATTCTCTTCGTATTATCGAGGGATCTACTTGAATAGGGTCTCAATAAGTTTCGAGATAGTGGAAACGCTCCATCTCCGACAAAATAGTAAGGAAATGGAGTGTTACTTTTATCATGTCGTAATGAGGAGGGTGGGGGGATGTTAAAACTTCCATGGGTCATCCAGTAGTTCATTGTACATGCTTTATAAATTCCTCCGTCACTGTTACGTCCAGCAAAACCTGGTTCAATAATGGTAAATAGGCCATCTGCGTCACAGCATGCCATAAGTACGGTAGAGTGGAAATGCTTATAGTTGAAATTTTCAGAACCTGTGTGTGGAAATTTCTCAATTCGGATGTGCTTCCCGTCCAAGGCACCAATGCAGTTGGGTAGGTTCCATAGCAGCTCAAAACGATCAGCAATGTGTTTAAATTGATCTTGTGTTGGTACAGGCATATAAATATCCTTCAGTATATTCCAGATGATGTCAGTAGTTTCCCTGATAATTTTTCTGACTGTGCTTTCACCTCTGGCATAATATAATGAAAGCGCAACAAATGTTCCACCAGTAGCCAAATATCTGAAATAATACGAATTTCAATACAAGGTTCTACAATTTTATCGATGATAAATATTTATTTTTTCTCTACATATCATATAGTATATTATATCGTAGTCCATATAGAAAATTATATTTGGCATCACTTATACATGGTATAATTTTTAAAAGATTAGGAGTTTAAAACTAAAACTAAAAACCAAACATTTTTACGAGTGTCTACATTTTAAATTTTTACGAAAATAAAAATTAAAAAAAAGTACAGGATACAGGAGTTGGGTAGGATACAAGAGATGAATTTATAGGTTAAGCATTATAGGATAGATTTTGGGATTATTTTATATTATAAAAGATGAATTGTCAGTGTATATGTTTGTAGTAAATCGTTATTTAAACGTGTGAATTTTTGTAAAAATTACAGCTTCAGACGCTCGTTAAAACTTTTTGATTGAAATGATCGTGACTGTACAGCAGAGCGAGTTTCCGATTTTTTTTATTTTTTTTATTTTAGCTGCCGAATGCAAAGAGAAGTGGCGAAATCTACGTACAGTTTTCATGCGTAAAATGAAACCACCTCCAAGTGGAGCTGGAGCAAAAAAAAAGGCATATTATTTGGAAGACGCCATGCATTTTTGTTTGCCGTTTATAAAAACATCCGCTCCTCCATCAACCGGAAATTTGCCACCAGTACCACTTAACTCACCTGGTGAAGTTGTAGACGATACAGAAATATTTGAGGATAGTGCATCCCAAATGGATATATCACAAACATTTGTACCTACGCAAACATCATTCCCTGACTCTCCAGTAAATTCACCGTTTCAACTTAGTAATTCAACCGAGAATTCAACACCATTTCAACAAACAATTGATCAACCAGTAAAATTATCATCATCCACTCAAGCCAGGGAAAAATTGACTTTGAAAAAAAAAACATCAGCAGCAGCCGCAGATCATTCTGTAGCTGACTATTTTAATGCCAAACGAGCAAGGTTGCAGATAAATGAAGCAGAGAATAGCTCTCAAAAAATTGATAGACAACAGGGTATCAAAATGTTTCTACTCAGTCTAATACCAGAACTGGAAGATTTAAATGATTCTCAAATCAAATTATTTAAACGACGTGTTTTTAACATTATTGACGATATATCAACTCCACTGCAGTACCAGCCACAGGTATCAACTTTCCAAACAATGATCCCATCAGCGTCTAATTCTTCTCAAATGTCTCACGTGTCACAAACAACAGATTTTTACAACGATTTTTCGCAGGATCTACATAATTCAGATATATAAATTGTATTTAAAAAAAAAATGTTTCTCAAATTGTAAATGTATTAATTAAATAAAACTGATTTGATTACTAATTCTTTTTTTTATATCTTATAATTTGAAATATTTTGTAGAAAAAAATAAAAAATGAACTTACCGGAATGTGATCAATATTCGTTCACCGGCAGGCAGGTATCACGTCAATACCGCGAATCCAAAAAAGCGAATATCAAAATAGCGATGGCAAAATAGCTAAGTATAAAATAGCTAAAAGCCATAATAGCGAATGTTCGAAACAGCCAAAGTATATTATTTTTAATTTATTTTCCTGATTAGTAATAGTTATAAAGATACAGATAATCACAATCAGTTTTATAGCTGGGTTATCCAATAGGTATATATTACGACAAGATATGGCGAGATTATGACGAGATATAATAATAAAATAGGTGGATTAGATATGAGCACAATATTCGACAGCGACAGTGTATGTTAAACCGCACAGTATTATAGTTATATAACTCGTGTATCATACAGTTTCACAGTTATGTCGTTTAAAAATATCGAATATTTAATATCACAAAAAAATAAACCACTCGTAAAATACGATGGGTTTTTGTATCGGAAAGATTGCGAAAACGGCGAAGTTTCATACTGGAGATGTGCGGAAGTTGAAAAATGTCGTGGTCGAATTAATATTAAAAATGATTTGGTTATTAAAGATTCTTCATTCAAACATGTACATGTCCCCAATCCAGCTAAAATCGAAGTCAAACAACTAACTGAAGAAATGAAAAAAAGTGCTTTAACTACTCAACATAATCCAAGTAAAATTATTAGTGATATTGTAAAAACGGCATCATCCAATGTAATTCAAGGGAGTCTCACAAGTGTACCAAATCTTAAAAGAATTATTCAGCGAACTAGGCAATGTAATCAACATTCTCCACCTAATCCACTAACCTTGAAAGATTTAGGAGAAATTCCAGACATTTATAAACAAACAAACAATGGAAGTAAGTTTTTGTTATTTGATAATTATGAAATTAATGGTCCTACAAAAAATAGAATTTTAATATTTTGTACACGTGAGGGATTAGAGTTAATGTCTGAATCTGAACATTGGTTCGCCGACGGTACATTTAAGAGCGCTCCTTCTATATTCACACAAATATACACTATTCACGTATTGATATATAATACTGTAATACCAGTAGTTTTTGCATTATTACCTGATAAAAGTACTTCAACATATTCTTATTTAATCAAAACACTAAAATCGCATATACCATTAAATCCTAAAACTATTATGACTGACTTCGAACAAAGTGCGATATTGGCATTTAAGGAAATTTTTCCCAATATAATTTCTCGTGGCTGTCACTTTCACTTAAGTCAATGTGTATGGCGAAAAATACAATCGATACCCACGATTCACGAAAAATATATAACTGATGCAGAATTTTGTATTCAAATACGATTGTTACCAGCACTTGCTTATGTACCAGTATCTGACGTAATAGCAAGTTTCGAGCACTTATGTGAAAGTGATTATTACATAGAACACGAAGAACTTTTTCGACCACTACTGGACTACTTTGAAGATACTTGGCTTGGAAAGACGGTGCGTAAACGACGTCGAGGTCCAACATTTCCTCTAGAAATGTGGAATTGTTATGACGCGATAGATTTGCCAAAGACTAATAATTCAGTCGAAGGTAACTAATTTTTATAAATAAATATATCTAAAATATATTAAGTATATTTTATAGATTTTTACATATTTTATAGGTTGGAATCGTGGTTTTAATCATTTACTTGGATCGTGTCACCCAACACTTTGGAAACTTATAGAAGGGTTCAAACAAGAACAGACTAACACAGAAATGAAAATAGAGCAATACATAAGCGGACAAAATCCAATAAAAAAAAAGAAAAAATATCAAGATACTGCATTAAGAATTTTAGAAATTCAAAAACAATATACAGAAAGAAATATCTTAAATTATTTGAAAGGCATAGCCTATAATTTATCACTACAAGTATAAATTATAAATATTATATAATATCTTTTATCTTTTAATTTTTATATTTAATTTTTTAATATTTAATTTGATTTACGACTAAACTCTGATGTATTTCTAAACACGTACAATAATGATCATTTTAAAATAATATACTTTAGCTGTTTTGAACATTCGTTATTATGCCTTTTAGCTATTTTATACTTAGCTATTTTGCCGTCGCTATTTTGATATTCGCTTTTTTGGATTCGCGGTATTGACGGTGACTCGGCAGGCACACATTCCCTCAAATTTGTGTTCATTTTCTCCAGGAAAGGGCCGACCATCCTTACTAATTCCTGATAAGTTTCTTTCGACATTCTGTAGAATGCAATAAACTTTCTATCCGTCTGAGATAATTCTTGTGCTGCTACAAATAGCCATAAGTTCGCATTTTCTATTATGTATGGATGTACCCAATGCTCCCTCTGTATTCTTCGTAGCTTGCGGTATTGATAATAATCAATGATGTCTTCTTCATCTGAATCCGAATTCGACATAGCAAAAAACCGAAAAACCAACTGCACTGCTCGAATAGATTACACCAACTGATCTAAAATCAGTCATGTCCGTGTGCGGACACCAGTTTCGTACTGGTTTCAATTTGATTGTAAACTAAATTGATTTGCAACTTTTGTCCCAAAACAGTTGCATCGTGTGCGCTAGGCCTAAATCTCTGTTCAAAATATATTTTTGGTTTGTACTTAACAAAATGTAGATGGTGATAAACAATCCGGTGTTGGTGAGTTCATGTTTTTTGGTGAGTTCGTGTTTATTGCTGGTCAGTCTCGAACTGCCCTTTCGATAAATGGTGCGTATTGGCCACAGACATCACAATCATTAACAATGTTTATTTCAGCATAAATATCCCACTATTGCCTACTACGGGATTGACACATACATAGGTATCATGTAACAATAATATACATTATTGTTACAATAGTATAGCTATTAATTTGATAATCCGATAAAAAAATGGTTCGGTACCAATTGGACCGGCGCATTCGAGTTGGGTCTCGAATAGGTACTAGGGTTAAATCGTGCGTACTACACTAGTTCAGAAAATGATTACATTAAATATAATATTTTTATTGAATTTAAACTTATAAAAATAACTAAACATTAATCTATTTTTAGCAAAACTACAAATGCTTATTTTTCAGGGATAACGATTGATATCCCTTTCAGCCCGAACTAACAAATTACCATCATAGCAATTTTCACCTATCCTACACTTATGTGCATAATAATTAAATACCGAGCCTAAGTTTTATTTTAGTTCTTATTGTTTACTAACCTACACAAATGTGTAAGTTAGATTCAAAATATTGTATTATTTTTATGAAATATGATACGGGTTTCGTTCCTACACAACACGATTGTGTATGTAACCGATAACCAACCAGAATAATTCCACAATTTTCTATTTATAATTTAGTACATATTTTTTTTTTTTTTTGTAATTTCTCATTTATACAGTCCAAATATAGTCAATTTCCGATGGTTATAAATAACTTGTATTTAACATATCTTATCGTAATACATATCGATTTAAATTAAAATCTTACGATGTTTTTAATTTTTTTATTAGACATTAGTTGTTGTTCACCATTCGCGCGAAATAACGTCGTATTGTTGACCTACACATTTGTGCGTGTTCGGGTTATGTGTTAAGTAGGTGTCATAATAATTTTAAATATTTTTGATTTTATTGAATTTAAATTTAAATTTTAACTATGCGTCGTGCGAAGTTAAGTACAAGTTTTATTGAACTGATGGCTACATTAAGTGATTCAGATTTTGAATGTGAGAGTGGAGATGATTCAGATGCTGATCGTACTTGGAAGCCTAAAACTTCACAAAATGTTGGAGAATCTGATTTTTCAGATTCAGATGGAAATTGTGATCAAAGTATACATAATGGTAATGTACCAATTATTATTCCTAATCAAATTGAAATACCAATTATGTCGGTCCCTGAACATGCAATAGGCGATTCTCTTGTACAAAATGTAGTAGAAGTAAACATTGGTTGGTCACAAAAACCATTTACTGGAACACTGTTGCCAGGATATAATACATGTGGACCTCACTTACCAATTAATATTCCCTCACCTCTGACTTATGTTCAAAAATATCTATCAAATCAACATTTTGAAAACGCTGCATTATACACCAATATGTACGCTTTAAATGATCTTTAACTGATGCCACAAGATCACATTGGCTCTCATCAAACCAATTACAAATTGCTTCGTGAGTACTTAAGTTATAGATGGTATAATTGTGAACAGCCAATTTCATTTTATAATACAAAGCACTGGCTTGACAAAGAGGTAATAATTGTACAGCCATTAGATCACATGTAAATGTGTGACATTCACCAGATTCAGCAGATATTTTATCTCTGTTTTTTTCCTCCCTGGCTTGATTTTTTCGCGTAATGTGTTTTTGATATTCTTCTTCAGATACATTATTAACTTTATATTCACAGCATTTATCGCATTGATTTTTCTTTGGCATAAATATTGAGAAATTTTTATCATTGTAAACATTAACAAACTTCTTTCTACTTAGTGGTTCTTCATTATCAATTTTACATGCTTCACAGTAAATATTGTAAAGGTGAGCAATTGAAGTAATGTCTGTTTGCAAGTACAGTTTCCTAGTAGACTTCCTACAATAATGGGATGGAAGTTTAGGAAGTTTGTTAAAAAAATGTTCTAAGTATTCGTTCTTATATTTTTTTGCTCGTCTTGAATTTCCTTTTTTGTGCCCAATTGATACATCATTTTCTGTTTCCATTTCACATTCAATTTCTTTATCATATATTCCCAAATCTTCTCTGACGTTTCTTGGTAAAATGTTTTCAGACAGTGACTCTTTTTGTAACCAATACCTAATAGTTGACTCTTTTAATCCAAATGTATTTAAAAACATGTTACGGCATACACAAAATTTACTATTACCAACTTTTAAGTAGTAAAAATATGTACCACTCCTTCGAGAAGTTAAACTTTTAGTTGTTCTTTGTTTAGGTTCTACCAATTCAATTAAAGATAAAATGTAAATTTGTTTTTCTTTCCAACATACCAGATCTTTCCAGAAATAATTAAATATTTTTAAAAGATCATCACATTTTATTTCAGAACAAAATCTTGTTTTCCATTGTTTACATATTTTTGATTGACATGGTGGGCCCATTTGTCTTTCTTCTCTTGGCGTGTCATGCAATATATTTAAGGTGCTTTGTTTTTCCTTCCTTCTATATCCTAAATAGGCTTCTCCTCGCATTCTTTTACATTTTGCATCATTTCTACTCCAGGTATATGAAATGGCTTTTTTACTACGTTTTCTTCCAATGTTTTGGGAAATGGTATCTTCAACACTTACGTTAATATCCTTATTATTTTGTATAATATTATTATTATGCTCTAAATAAGACTTATTGGTGTCATCATCTTGTATAATATCAGCTATAATATTATGATTTGTTACACTTTCTGTTTCATTTTCATAATTGGGAATTATTTTCATATTATCATTATTTAACATAGTTTCATTAAATTCAAATGTTTCAATATTATCAATATTAATTTCTGAATTACAGTCATTGAGCACATAACAGTCTAATTTATTTGTTTCATTTTAATTTAAGGACCCTGGTTTTGATATTGTTTTATTAACAGTAGTTTGCCTAGTTACTAATTTTGAACTATTTTCTACAGCTTCATATAATTCATCAATTGAATAGGAGTAGCAACTAACGTCTGTATCACTATCAGCTGTATCTGATTCCATTATTATAATAATGTAATAAAATATTATTATATTATGAGCAGAATTATCTAGTTTTATCTAAAAAGTAAAAAGAAAAGATAATTGTATAAGTAATAGGATAAAATAGGATAATAAAAGAATAAAAATAATATACAACATTATTAATTTACATTTTGTAATGTAAAACAATCTAACTTTGAATTCAGCAAAAATATAAACATAATAAATAACAACACCTATATCAATATAATGGTTTTATGAACATTGCCTATCTCAACTGAAAAAAAATAGTATTTTAAAGAGTTATACTACTTAACATAATTATGTATATTATTATGTATGTTTTAGCATAAATTCGTTCTGTATTATTATAATATAATAACCAAATATAGAAAATATGCCATTTCATAGCAATATCTAAGAAAAATCAAAAAATAAACTTACTTTATTGAGACTCCAGGCAGGAACAGAGATTTTCAATGTGATTTTAATGAGATACGTTATGTTATGACCAACGTTTGATATACGCTGTGTTATCATTTTTGTGATTTACAGTCTAACCAGTTGTCTAAGCAAAAAAAGTCTGAAATAAAATATTTTCGGACGGTGTTTATCTACCAATATCAACAATAATCTCATTTTGTCAAATTTTGAGATACGTCTTGTTGCAGTATCAGCGACGATATGTAACTCTAAATTATTGTTCGTTCAACCGTAAAAATTGTTAAACCAGCTATTTAGTTTTTTCCGTGCACTAAAATGTATACAACTAATAAAATATGTATACGTACGTCCATGCGTGTATCAACAACAATCGACGATGGCAAAATGACTATTAAAATAATGCATTTCAATGAAATAACAATATTGAAGTTTTCCAAAATAGATTGAATAATTTACTGACTAAAAATAGAAATATTGACATGCGATTAGCACGTACGTATTAATTCTTTGAGTAGCACATTAATTTTTTTTTCCAATTCAAATTTCTTTATTAAAATATCAAAATATAACATTATCATATTATAAAAAAAAATTTTTTCAAACACATTTTTAAAAAACTGGTGGTTTTACCATAGAACCAAAGTATAACAGATTATTTTGTATGAAAAGGTATAAATCAGTTTTTGTCATTTGTCAAACACAAGCCAATTTTGCAGGACATATATTCTCATTTGATTCTGTGGGGCTTATCTTTGGCACTGCAATTGTTGCATCTTCTTGAAGAACAAGATTGTGGGAGATGACTTACATTTGAAAACCGTTGTTCTATGGGAATTTTTTGTTTAACCTTTTCATTGCTAAGTTTTTTTTTCTAAAATACTCATCTCTGCTGAATTATTTTTGTTTTTGTTTTTTTTTTTTTTTTTTTTTAATGTTCCTAAATGATCAATTTAGTTAAATTGAACCATATATTGAAGTCAAAAAAAAAATATATATATATATATTGACTTGAATTATAAGTTAAAAGTTTATACGACCAGGGGTAACCAAACTAGGAAACCTAGCGTAGGAACCGCATACTATGAAATTGAAATAATTAAAATGCAACGTACCTACAAATTATATTTTTAACTGTTTATTAATAATTAGATAGTAATCAGTTAATTCAGTATAATAGTAACAAAATAATGTGTATTTAAAATAAATTATATAGTAAAAAATTCAAATCTTATTATTAGTATGATATATTTCAAAGCAAGGAGCTGGACATAACCCAATATTGCATTCTGTACACATGAATGTTGTGTCTTTTCTTTTCTTTTTTAATTTTTGGCATATATTACACCGTCTTTGAGGATTTGTCTTCTTAGATGTTGGTGGTACAGTGGATGGAAAATGTCTATCTGTCAATCGCATAGGTATCACAGTATCACTGCTGCGCGGACGACCTGTTTTGTTCAAAGCACTTTTCTTTGAATATTTTGTTAGTATTTCCCGGATTAGTTGAAACTGATAGCTTGCCAATGGTAAATGTTTTCCAGTAACAGTCTTGTATAAACTATATGCATTTAGTAAGGATAGATCTACCAAGTAGAAAAACAGTTTTTTATACCATTTTATGGTTTTTCTCACACATTCAATTGAGCTCAACAACATATCTGTTTTGTCTATAGCACCCATGTTTTCATTATATTTCAACACAGATAGAGGTTTATTTACTTGGTTTCCATGATGATCTTTTTTACCAATAGCAATCATTTTATTTTCAAATTGTGTTGTCAACATGTAAACATCTCTTCTATCTTTCCATCTTGTAGCTAGCATAGTTGTTGTGTGTTGACTTTCTGTTTGACCAACTTCAAGTTTCGATGTTAGTTTAGGCATTCCTTTACGATTTTTCCTAACAGTTCCAGTAACATTTGTTTTTTTTTTGTAAAGAAACATGGCTAACGAAGGTGAAGTATATCAATTATCAATGAATAGCTTGTGACCTTTTTTCAAGCATGGCTTCATCAATGTATTTACCACAGTTCCAGATATACCGAGGCTTGGGTCTGTTTTTCTATATTCTGTTGTGCTTCCAGTATATATTAGAATATTTAGAATGAAATCAGTTTCTACATCACAAATAACAAAAATTTTTATTCCAAATCGGTGTCGCTTTGTTTTAATAAATTGTGTAAATGAAAGACGACCCTTCCACAGAACAAGACTTTCATCTATTGCTAGATTTTCAAATGGTATCATGGCATATTTAAAATTTTTAGTTATATCTTGTAATGGCATTCGAATCTTAGAAAGTCGATCTCCAGGTATTTGCTCATTGTTGTAGCTAAAATGGAGCATTCTAAGTAACAACAAATAACGGTCACGACTAGAGGTCTCTATTTCACGTGTAGTTAAATTCACGGATACACGTGAAATTAAAATTTACGTACACAATCACGTGAAATAAATTCACGTGAATTTATGAATTTAAATACAAGTGAATCCGTGTATTTAACTTCACGTGAGTCCGTGAATTTTGCTATTAAATCACGCGTTTATTATTACATTTAAAATTTTATTTTCAATACATTAAATATCTTCCAATGGCTTCCTGCTTTTTACATGACAATCGACAGTGATCGGTTAACAATTATAAATATTATGAACAGAACATCCACAGAAAACTAGTATTTTAGAATGCGGTTTTTTGACAAGTGTTTATTATTTGAAATTTATTTTACTTATATTCAAAAATAATTGAACAATTATGTATAGCATAAAAATTTATAACAATAAGAACATGTTTTAAATTTTATTTATTTATTTATTTTGGACCATAAACCCAATTTTTTCACATGCATAATTTACTCGTATAATATAATAAAATAGTGATAATTATTAATTAATATGATATTATGATCAGGGCCGTAGCAAGAACCAGTAGCGCCCCTGGCAGAAAACCAAATTCAGCTAGGCACTGTGCAAAGACATTGCCTGGGCGGCAAAAATATACAGGACGGCAGATTTTTGTACCTATATTTATTAAAGTATAATAATATAAAGATAATCATCTTATTACAATATACATATTATTTTGTATTAATGGGTATAATTTTGTAATTTGTTCTAACGTAATGTAACGCTTTAGGTACAACAAACAATTTCATGTTTGTTATGCTATAAATACCAGAACTGAACATGAAAACCCAGTCTTTTATTACTCTGGGTACGGAATGAGCGAAACAGTGGTGACGTATTACATAAGTCGTGATGGATAATCGTTACTTGCATTA